AGGGGCATGCAAACAGACAGACAGACCGACAGACAGACCGACAGACAAAAGTATGTGGCCCGGATGTCCGATATTTCAGATGAGCTCCAGCCGTATGATGGGCACTGGCGCCACCTTCTTCGCGCGCTTACAGCGCGGCCTGGTCCGCCGTCCTCCGAGCAGAGCCAGCCTCAGCTGCGGAGAGATCAGCGCCAGCCCCACCGTGTCCATCAGACCGGCCTGACCGATCATCAGCACCCGTGTCAGCAGCGAGCGCGTCACCCCAGCCGTCAGCGCTGAGGCTGGGGCCCACAGAAGGATCAGCAGCTGCTCGCACAGCGTCAGCACCGCGAAACAGCGCGCAGAGATGACGTTGCGGTGGCGCGGCGGCGCCGGCGGCAGCGTGGCGTCGGCGTAGAGGAGCAGCGTGTTGGCCGCTGTGGAGATGAGCAGCAGGACTCCCACAGCGGTGGTGTTGGGACTGGGACGCTTGTCCACCGGTAGGCCGACACAGATGAGGAAGGGCACGCCCGGCTGCAGCAGGCTAGCGAAGATGTAGACCGACGCGACATAGATCAGCCCAATGATGACGTAGACGACTCCACTGGTGAGCTTCCAGGCGTGTCGCGGAGCCCAGCGAGCCACAGCCAGGAGAAGTAAACGAACCAGACCCAGCCAACAGGTCAGGTAGGTGATCGTGAAGGCCAACACACCGCTAAAGCCATTGAAGAAGCCGCAAAGTAACCAATGCAGCCGCAGTGGCGGCAGCAGTAGCTGGAGCATGATCGCCAGCTCTATGACGAGATTCACCTGCAGCACCCGAGACCGCAGAAGCAGCAGGCAGTTGAAGACTGTGGGGATAGCCCGGCAGCGGCGCATCGCTCGCTGGAAGAACACGCTGCCTAAGACGCTGGCAAGGATGATGGCGATGACGACCAGCGCTAGATAGCGCTGACTGGGAGTGAGAGGGTCCAAGGAGAGTGACCCAGCCGAGAAGACGTTCTGTGGGAGGAGATATGTTTCCAAGGTTGGAGCGGAGGCAGTTAGGCTGGTGTTAGGCGCTGAATTGACGAGAGTCTGTAGCGTAGGGGAGGAGTGCAGAGGGGAGAAACTTTTCTCCGTAGGCGTGTAAGATGGTGACTGAGAAGGCGTCTGGACAGATCGCGAGCTAGAGTCTTCAGATAGCTGACCGTGACCGAGTAACTTCATCTTAGGGGGCTGTAGGAACGTGTCTCTGCCCACACACTCGGCCACTCCCTCTTCACTTACCGGCAACTCCCAGCAAAATCCTTGACAAATATGTCCCCTGCAGATCTGTGTTCCGTTGTGGTCCAGAAACCGTGACCTGATGAGCTCTCCTCCCGGTCGCTCCGCCACATCCGCCAGCAGCGGGAGGGGATGGTGATCTGACGGCGTATTGCCACTCGTCGGTGGTTGACACATGTCTCCGTCGGTTACCTTTGCTTGCGTACCTTCGCTGAGATGGATCTTAGTCGGTGGACAGGCTACGCATGTATGGTTAACCGTCGCACTTTGGTGGTGGGGGCATTGGATAAATATCCCTTTGTTTTTGCGACTGCAAGTAACTCCTGTCAAAGGCGCCGGATAGCGTTACGTTTTCTGTCAGGTTTAAAATAAGAGAGAACTGAAAACTGTTGGTATCCGCTACTTATTATGAGAGACAAATTTGTGAAAATTCGAGAAAGCGCATCCGACCTGCCTATAGGTAAGTGTGAGGTTCTACTCTCGTCCCTCGGCGCCCCGTGCAGAAAGCCGGGCTTACCAAATGGTGTGGCAATTACAATAAGAAGGATTTTCTTTTTTTCAAGCATTTCCAACATTGATATGCGTACAACAGCCATATGCGGCTCCGTCGGTTACCTTTGCTTGCGTACCTTCGCTGAGATGGATCTTAGTCGGTGGACAGGCTACGCATGTATGGTTAACCGTCGCACTTTGGTGGCGGGGGCATTGGATAAATATCCCTTTGTTTTTGCGACTGCAAGTAACTCTTGTCAAAGGCGGAGGATAGCTTTACGTTTTCCGTCACGTTTAAAATAAGAGAGAACTGAAAATGTCGTTGGTATCCACTGCTTATTATGAGAGAGACATTCGTGCCGCGTGCCAAAAGTCGAGAAGGCGCATTCGAACTGCCTGTAGGTAAGTGTGAGCTTCTACTCTCGACTTGCGTAGTGGCGCCCCGTGCATTTCAAGCATTTCCAACATTGATATGCGTACAATAGCCACATGCGGCTATATTTCACCGCCATTTACCAAATTATTGCAATGCAATAAGCTTGCGCTGGCATCTTTTTAACGTCAACAGGTTCAATGAGCTGAGAACAGAGCTGAACAATTTCGTTTATTGGAAAATACCCCCCAAACAGAGCAGTACGGGTATAACTTAATGCTGCAATTCGAGTTTACTTGTTTATGTTCATTAAACTAACAGTCCGAACAGGTAGGATATATGCATGATCACACCCGTTAAAAAGTCGAAGCAGTGCAAAATTTTCGCCTTTCGGAACATAACAGCAGTTTGTTATCGGTGCTCAGTGCTGCCTTTGGCACAACTTACAGTCATATATATGCGAACATACATACGTCCAATCTCACATACATCAGAACAGAACGAAACAAACACACAACACGTGAGTAGCGCGCAACACTGCAACTTTTCATGAATTTTATCGAAATTTCCTGCGTGTGATTACACGATGCAAAGAAAAAAGACAAACTGGCCTTTCTCTAATGCTGAGCTGTTCAGACAAACTGATATCAGCTTGAGTCAAACCGAATAACTATGCACAAGCTGTCACGAACTGCTGATTGAGTTTGCATTTACAAAATCGCCTTCTTGTTTTCATGATGCTCATCTGTCGTCTGTCACGACTCTGAAACAGATAAATGGCGTCACTTTAGTGACCTCGTGAACCTTTCTTACAGAGCAACCCGATCGTGTGGCGTTAATTTTACCTGACCTAGATAATGCTCAAAGTATGTACAGCCCACCGCTAAAGTAATGTGTGGTTTTACCAATCTCAACGGATGGCTTTAACCGACGATTTTTAAATGCGAGATTGAAAAGAAGATGTCAATAGATAAAGTTGTAGCTGCAAGGGTGAAGATACATGTAAGCTACATTTAAAGTCTCGTTGCAGTCTGGCTAATCGTTCCTAGGCTTCAGAAGCAGAACATACCCATGACTGAAACCACACATTACTTCTGCTGTGGACTGTACCTGCTACAGCAATGATGTTTGATGCATTTTCAAACGCCGATAACCGAATGCCGCTACACGCGGACCAGGAGCTGCGTTACCCCGCCCCCTCCCTCCGCACCTCGATGTGGGGGATGCTCGATTGTAAGCATCACCACTCTAGAAGAGCAACACGGCAGAGCGGACTGTCCCTCCCCGTCCGCTTTGCCGTGACTGATACTGATAGGTAGGCTGCGCCGCGCAGCGCGCAGGTACGGCGGTACAGTATAGATGCAGGCGCTACACGCCCCGCCATCTGTCGGCGAAGTTTTCAACTAGCGTGGGCTAAGAAGCCGTGCGGTGCGAGCTTAAAAAAAAAATGAATAAGAAAGCATGGGAAAATAATGAACTATTTTATCGCCCTATTTTTTACACCGTGTATTTTCCGGGCATTCGCTACGAAATGGAATAAAATTCTAAAGATGTTGTATGATGCTGTATAAAAAGTGCTTGGTTGCTACGCAGTATGTACGAGCGTACATAGCCCTGGAGCCAAATTAGAGCGTGTAATTACCTGTTTACGCCCCACTCCCCTCCCCCTCCCATCCCCGCATCGATATGTTACTATCGAGGCGCCGCTCTTGCGTGGGCCACGGGCGGGGTTATACCTACTAAATAATGAACTGTGCAACATAACCCATTCTGGTCACGCCATCGCCTTTAATTGCACCAAGTAGTTCGCAATATTTGAACCTTGAATTGAGCCATTGGCTCATTTTTAATTTCCCTCTTGGCTAAGGCTATTGTTGGCATCGCTTTGGAACCCCGAACCACATAGTTTGAGCTTCGATGATCTCTGGTGACGTCGTTTCATGAGCTCTGCGAAAAAAAATAGTAGCGTAGGTACTTAGGGCATAATTTGTTGAGAACACGCCGTCATTTGCCGTTTCTCGCTACGTCGCACCGCATTTTGTGCCGTTTTTTTTTCTTTTTTATTCTGAGGAGGTACTTATGCATCTCTCCGTTCTAAACTGTCTCTGTGGGTAGGTCTGTAACTACTGCATCGAGGCGACCTTTGATAATGAAGGCTGTAGCCGATTTTATTGTTGTATTTTCAGCTTTAGAGCAAGCGCATGTAGTAATGTTCATGTATGAATTAAAAGTATACCCTAGTGCTCATGATTCCATCAGCCGTTTTTATGCAGTAACTGTAACACATTCCCCACCATGAACTAATGCACTCAATGTTTTATGTAATGTTACGTGAATTTTGTGTCGCTCACTTTATCTACTGGCTTCGGCCGGACCATCGCAGGTGACACTCTCTCTCGAGAAGGAGTTTCTGCATAAATTTAAAAACGTTGTGGCTCGTTTATTTGTCGGTGTGCGGCGCCATCGTCATATTACGCCCGCTTTGAAGTAGTTCCAGTGGTCCCAGCGCCGCATCGGTAAGCCGGTGATGAAGCGCGAGTGGTTTGAAACGCCGTTTACGACTTTTACGCTCCAAGTGCCATGTGACTGACGTGCTTATCGTTGAAGCGGTATCTGTCAACTGAAGTGCTGGTATCAGCTCCTGGCTACATTCGCACTTTCGGAGCTGATTCTTGTGGTCTATGAACAAATCGTATTGTTGCTGGCTGCTGCAATAGTCTGTTGTATACTTCGTCGTGTGCTAAAGCGTCTCATGTAGTATCATCGTGTCAACTTCTTTTCTAGTATTTTATGCTCATCAAAATGGCCACTAGAAATCCCATCATTTGCCTCTACAGTTTGACGTCTCAGTCGCTCGTTCTCCTAATCATTCCGCCATTTCAAACACAGATCAGTTGCAGGCTTTATACAAAAATACAGCGTGTTAAGGAAAGGAAAGTAATAAATAGGTGACAGGAAGCCAAGGGAGCAAAGCTCTTTAGGCAGGCCACACTTGCAAACATTGCATTAGTGCTTCTTTGCTACTTGCAAAGAGACTTCAAACGAAAGGAGGAACAAAGCCAAACGCAGGCTTCGCAGAGGCAGTACAAGCATTGAGGCAGTCACCAGCGGTCTGAACTTAACAACATAACTTCCCAGAAGACACGAAATCACTAGCACATAGCTGACATGTCTACAGTTAACACATAAGATCACCGGTTCCGTTCGAGGCAACGGAGCCATAAAACAAAACAAAAAGCTCCTAAACAAAGGGAGCGCACCCGTGGATAATGGCGTATTTTCGCAACGAGAACTGAGAACTCTACGTCGGCTCATCTTCAGAGAATCCCGATTCGGTCGAGAGACTGTTCTTGGAGGAGATCCCGCTATCAGTCATCGACCTCCCCTCCACTTCAGTGGATTCGCCCTCGCCATGTGACTTCCCCTCGACGGTGCAAGTGGACTCGTCCGGCGAAGAATTGTCGTTAAACTCGCACTGAAGTCGACGGAAGAGCCGTGATGGCGCCGCCGTCGGTCGGTTCGGTCGCTCCAGTCGACCCTCCTGCACGCCCTGAAGCTCACTCAGGACTGTGTCCTTACACGCGATGCGGGGAACTCGACCTCCTTCGATTGCCGTCAGACGATTCCGCTGGGAGTTCTTCAGCTCCGCCAGAACAGAGTCCATTCCTGAAGGAGGCGGAGCCCTAGGTGATGAGGCCGCTGCCGAGGGTCTGCCCCTTTCCGGTAGACGCGGTGATGTGCTCGTTGCACCGCTCGCTTTCTTGTCCCTCCTCTGAGTGGCAGGGCTGGCGCGACTCGATGAGGATGGGCTGGACACCTTAGATGTCGCTGATGGCTGCGCTGGAGGCGGTGGAGGCGGAGGTGGAGGAGGTGGTGGTGGCGGTGGCGGTGACGTTTGAGGAGGTGAGGGAGGCTGAGAAGTCGGCGGAACCGAGGGCGACGACGTCGACGGTAGCGGAGAAACTGACGTACGCTGACCTCGTCCCGCATTGCGGCGGCGAGGTGGCGGCACGGGACTAGCCTCCGCCACAGGGCCACTGCCAGCGACACGAACTTCATCTTCACAACTCGTGGTTACGTTCCCAAGCGCGGCAGCACAACTGACGGGTCGCATAGTGCGTTCTGGGGTAGACTCCACGGACGGTTCGGGATCCGAGCCGACTGTCTCTTGGAAAAACCGCAGCGCCGACTTGAAGGTGACGTGACCCCGTCTGGGAGGCTCTGGCTTCGGTTTGCCCTCGACTGGGTCAGGCACTTCGGGTCTCCCCTTGGCGAGGTTCGGTAGATGGATTGTGTTCCGTTTTAGTGTCTGCGAGTTGTCCACAACCGGCTCTTTCGGAGACGTCTTTCGAAGCGCCACTGTTAGCTTCCCTTCAATGACAGGACCCTCGACCTTTTTGGAGATTGAACTAGTGGAACTTTTGGGGTTGAGCTGTGTGGTAGTGCCATTTTTCATAGTGGCACCAACGACCTTTGGTTTGCTCTGCTCAGTAACAACTGGCAAGCTCTGGCGTGATTGGAATTTTGCTACTTTGGCTGCCACACTTTTATGTCCCGTACCGTCTTTGTCTTGCTTCACTTTCTTTTTCCGCATTTTCACTTCGACTTTGGTGCCGTTTTCAAGTTCAATCTGTTTGGTAACGACTCCACTCGACCGAGCCGGCTTTTCTTCGCGCTCAGCACCCTTCAGAGCTTTATCACCGTCCTTCCCAACGCAAGACATCTTCCCCTGCTCTGATTCCCCAACCTCATCCTTCTTGCGCGTCGCAGATTTTGACACCATCACATCACTCGGACTGGTACCTTCATTGGCTGCGGTATCAACACTCTTCCCTTGCGCGCAGGTGCTCCCTTGGTCACCCGCACATCCACTTTGGCCACTCGTACTGTCACTTTCCCCTGTTGCCACTCCCATATCACTCCCACCCCCTGGCGGAGGGTCGGATGCCGATGGTGGCAGGACCGTAAGCTGCCCTTCGACCAGCCACCGGTTCCGCTTCTCGAGGTTCGCCAGCCACGCGTCAAACAATCTCTCGCGGTTAGCTCCGAAGAGATGTTCCCCGTCGTTTGCTCCAGCCTCTTTCGCCAGCTCGGGCCAGATGCTGTCTGTGGGCTCACAGGATTCATCCACAGCCTTCTTTTCTGGGGGAGCTGGCCCTGCGGAGGTGGATTTATCGGGAACGGTTTCTTTCGGAATAATCTGAGGTGATTTGGAACTTCGTCTCCCGTGTCGTTTGCCTCTGGGAGACAGGTCTTTTTTCGAGGTCTCTTGTTCGGTCTCCGGTTCTTCTGATTCTGATTCGGAGTCCACTTTCTCCGGTCTAGGACTTGATTTCGTGAGGATCGAGGGCTGAACATATTTATTTGACGCTTTGTCTGAGGACTTATATGCAACCTTCCCTGATTTGGAACTAGATTTCTTGGTTGACGGTTCAGACAGACTTGGAGATGCGTCTACATGAGATCGCGTTGTAGTTTTGGAATCAGGTCTGACTGGCGACTCCAAACGCGGACTTGCTGACGACCTGGTCAGCGATCTTTCTGTGGACTTTAATGATCCCGAATTTTCTTCCCGCTTTGAAAACGACTTTACACTGGACACTGCAGGTGATCTGCTGAGCGACCTCTCCACCGACCTGGCGGGAGATCTGGCATCAGCTCTTGAGGGAGATTTCTTGGATGAGTCTCGAGCGTCGCGAGCAGCCAGGCGACCAGGACTGGCCGCGCGCGGCTGCGGCCGCCGTTCGACCACAGTATCATCACTGGAATCCGATCCTCGTTTGAGCGCAGGCGTCAGACGTGACCCGTCTTTCTCCTCCCGCGCGTGATGACCACTGGAGACTCTGGATTGTTCGGTGACCGAAGCCTGGCCAGGCTCCGAATCACAATCCCCATCAAGGGACAGCTCACAATCCGACGCCTCAGAGGTGGCCTTAGAGCTTCCGCCACTGGCAAAGCCGCTGCTTCCGCTCGCGAAGCCACTGCTGCAGCTGGCGCCACTGAACACGCTACTCAGACTCGGCGTGCGTCCGCTAGGGGTGCTGAGATCGCTGAGAAGACGCGACAGTCGGCACGAGGCGGGCCGGCCGGCGCGTGTCGGCGTGACGCTGGTTGCGGCGGTGACGCTCTTGGTGGCAGAAGTGGGATGATTTGAAGTAGATGTGGGATTCTCGGCGACGATGCTAGAGCTGGATTCAGACGGCAGTAGCAGTAGAGAGGCGCGCGTCGTGCGTCGGCAGACTGGTGATGTAACCGACGGCAGCCCCAGGCGAGCAAGCTCTATGGAAAGAGGCAAAAAGGTAGCATACATACAGCGGCAGCGCGGAGAGAGAGAGAGAGAGAGAGAGAGAGATAGACCTGTGCATGCCTGAGAAATAGCAGTTTGACTTACGGAATGATATCTAAACAGCGAACTTAGCTAAACCAAAAGAAATAGGCACTGCGCAAAGGTTAATTGAAAGTTATTAAAAGCGGCAGCGATCAGCCAGAGCCATTATCATATTTAAAATGGCTAACGTTAACCCACGAGCCGCTGGGGGGGGGGGCATAAAGTTGCCCCCCCTTTACGTTTTGTGAAATATCTCCGAAACCTGATGAGCTACGAACGTGAAACTTGGCATAGCTTCAAGTGAATACCTAGGCAATGTTTGAGGAAAGTTTGGTGGTTGTAGCACCTAAGATGACGTCACAGTGACGTCATAAAGTTTTGTCGTTTTCCGTTATGGACCGTTTCCGATGACGCTGAGCATGAAACTCAACTGTAAATGAACTAGACAGCACCTGCTGTCATCCTAAAACATCTAACTACACTTCCATCTAGTTTCTGACCAATAATCGACCCTTTATATTCGGTCCCATATATCTGATGTATCGTGAGGGATATGAGAGTCGCAAATCTATAATTTCACTTATGACGTCACTGTGACGTCATTTCAAATGGGATCGACACCAAATTTGGACACAACCTCGGCTAGATATTCAGGAAAATGTGTGCAAAGTTTCGCTTCTCTATCTCTTCGTGTTGCGACGATATCGTCGCAGAAGTAAAGGGGGGCAACTATATGCCCCCCCCCAGCGGCCGGCGGGTGGCGCGGAGGCCCAGCGGCCGCCGGGTTAAGTGCACACCATGACGTACAGACAGTGAAATAGTAGAAATTAAAAATAAACAAATATTGAACCGGGTGATGACGACAAAACATAGGCATCCACCACAATACCACAATAGCGCATAACAACCCGGTAGAAAAAATAAGGGATGGTAGGTAATACGCTCCTTGCGTAAATCGTAGATTTTACTCCCATCGACATAAAGTACTACCAATATGAGTGACTCAGTCAGTTGAAGGGAGGTGCCTAAATTGACAGCATTCAGCCAGCAGAGCAGAACAGTAAAGAGGTAGACGTCTTACCTCTTAAAGTCTAGCCAAAAGCGATGCCTGGACTTACCACGTCAGTCCGGCGCAGACGGCACCTATCGATTTTTTTTACTCTACGCCACTTGCTGGAAGATTTCTCCCCACAATTAACCTAACCGACTAATTCTACCCTGTGAACTAAATTGATTCTAACCCTTACCAGTTTTTATTCCACGTCATCTATTCGACAGTCTACTCCACTTACCGGAACTATTCCTCACAACTTACCACGCTTGCTCAGCGTCCTCTCCCGGGCTGGTTTTATGTAAGCAGCATATCAGGCTGATTTTACTCTAATGCCTAAGTACCAGAATATTCTACGTAACCTATCCAACTGATTCTACGCCACTTTATACTGCTGTTATACCGTATACCCACCGAGCTGTTCGGAGGTCGAAGTTGAGCCTCTGAAGGTGCGTGTACCGGTGGTCGGCACATACTTTCTCGTCGTTAGAGGCGCCCCAGATAGAGGACTGCGCGCCGCCGGACTGCCGATTCCTGTGCCTGTGAAAAAAGAATAGAAACTTAAAATTTACGAATATATCCTTTTGCTCTCTGCCATAGAATTTGCGCCGGGAAGAATCGCCAGACATAAAAATGGGTCCAGTCCCACGCATGAAAATGGGATGGGTAAGCTCAGCCTACATTGCTCCACTCATTGGGGTCAGAGCGGCTCAATTTCATTGTGGCCCTTCAGCTAATGGCAGGTTGTTAACTTATCGAAATTGCGCATTGCAACTTGTCAGAGGCCACGGCTGACCTCTCCACGGCTCGAAACCCCAATTCTCCCGCCGACGGAATGGTTCAGCGTTGCCAGCTCACCTGGTCTGCCAGACCTCATGTTGATGAGCACAGCCCTGGCGGGTCCGGGCCCTCCGATCCTTTCAGCGTGGACTCTGCCGCCTGCAACTGGGAAAACAAGCCGGACATGGTGATCTTGCTAGTTTACTGGTCTGGAGTAGCATGGCAATTTCCTTTCGCCGAAGTTCGTCTGAGTAAAACTGAAACTGTGCACAATACATAGGCACATAAGAACGAGGAGCAGGGGCAATCGCATTCTAAGCTCATCATAATTGATTAAAGATCTTTTCTAACGAGTCTCCAACTAAAAGTACATCCTGTGAACAAAGTACATCCTATGAAGCCCAAGACCCACCAACATCGAGTACAGCCTCACATCAATTCACGGAACAAAACACGGAAGACGGCAGCGCTCTGGCCTGGCAGTCGTTCGACACGGCTCGTCTGAGCGGTCAAATCTCCCGTCTGAGGAATTGCTGCGGTCAGCATTCCACGCGGCTCAGGCGGCTGGGTGCCAAAAAACGAGCACACGATTTCCGCGCGCCGACAGCAGAACACTACCGCAGTGTTCTCTGGTCTATATTTCACTACGTTTTAATTTTGTACTCACCATTTATTCATTATTTGTATTCCGACATTAAATATCATTCATAGTTTATGTTTAAAATACATCAAATTTGAAATATAAAAAAGCATGTTTTAATGAGCTTAAGATATTCGGAAGGCAGATAACAGAAAGCACGCAATGTTTGACATTCTGACCTACTTAGTATGTTTTACCTCGTTTACACTCAATCATCGAACTGGACTGCAGTCACCATGCCTAGGTCCGGGTTGGGGTCACGAAAGGTCACGTACCCGGTCCAGTCTCCCCGGTAGCGGCCTGCAGCAGACGGAACGTTCGAGAAGGGATGTGTCCGCCTCGATAGCGGGGGTCCGACTCTGAGTGCAGCGAGGCGTCACCATCGACTGGGAACACCAAACGCGGTCAGAAGTGGATATAAAATGTTGAACCTAAAGGGCTAGCAAAGTATGGGTTTATGGTCAATTGCAGGAGTCCAACTACCACAAGCTTCAGCTGCAGGGATAATATAACTACTGTTAACGCCAGACCCCTTGAGACCCTAATTTTTCGCGATTACTTTTAAATGCGTGAAGGAATTTCAACCAAGCTCAGGACATGGCCGTTTCAAGACAGGCCGAAACTTTTACAATTTAGATATTTTATCGCCATTTCAATAGTTCAGGCACTGTCATTGACTCGTAATGTTAACTGTTTTTCCATCCTGGATAGAGGCTTTCTACGTCATATGACATTAGGCTCCGCCCACGACTGCGGCATTGACCCGTGCCCATCAGCGACCTCTGTACAAACGACACCCCTGCCATCTGTGAAGGACTATGAATTTCGCTGACGCTTCACGTGCTATGAGTCAATTGCAGCAGACGGTCAAGTAAATGTTAGGCTCTTGTTGACTCTTGTATATAGGACCAAGAGGACCATCACTCCTCAACCTACTACTCAGTCGTGCTTCGAACAAACGTTAACGATTCCTAACAAATACGATTTTCGATGTAGGGTATCTGTTTGAAATACGAGCGAGCCGTATGATGTGAAGCTCAGGCAATTAACTTATTATTGCGTTGTTCGATGGTTGCATAGCGATGTACAAATCGGCAGCTACTTGGTGACATCCGACATCCCATTATCGCATTATCTGCAACGCCATAGGCTTTAAATACAGGTGAATATTTCCTAACCTTATGTCAGTTATATGCCATCTGCCCGTCATTTGCAGCTTATAAAAAAAAATATATCAGCGAACATATCAGCATTGTAGAAGCAATGCGCATTGAGCATTTATGACTCCTTAGTCATCATGTCGCACTCTGGGCACTGTCAGCCAAGACGCTAGGCACAACTCCGCCGGCTTTCGGCACCGCTCGACCGTCGCCCGTCCCCGCTCCCCGCCACAGCGAGAGTGACCGCGCGCCGGCCCGAAACCGCCGCAGGCCAAGACCACAGAGGCGGGGCTTAGCTGTGACGTCATAACGTATCACAGACTGACTGGTGATAGCCTCTACACACCGGATGAAAATCTTGCTCGAAATTTAACATTACGAGTCAATGACAAGTGCCTGAAATATTGAAATGGCGATAAAATATCTAAATTGTAAAAGTTTCGGCCTGTCTTGAAACGGCCATGTCCTGAGCTTGGTTGAAATTCCTTCACGCATTTAAAAGTAATCGCGAAAAATTAGGGTCTCAAGGGGTCTGGCGTTAACCCGGCAGTTGCTGGGGTATTTCGCCACCCACCGTTTGCTGGGGGGGGGGGGCGTTAAACGCCCCCAGCCGATAACTCGAGAACCAATAGGCGCAGCGAAACGCACGTGGCGGCAAACGAAAGAGCGCGACGAGACGCTTCAGATGAGTACTTTAAAGTTGAATTTTGAGGTCACAGGTCGGGTCAAGGTCAGGTCAAACACCTGAAATCGGGCTTTCAGTAGCATGGACTACTGGACTTGGCAATGGGCGCCTCTCGTCATAAACTCTGTCAAAACGGTGCACAATCCATCTTATAAGGCCTACAAGAGTGTCAGCTCCATATAGGGGTCAGTCAAGCATAGGTCAGGGTCAAGGTCAGGTCAACCGGGTAGGCACATATCCCCGAAAATCAAAACTGATATTCGCAGCCTGTGACACATGTTTTATAGGTAATTTGGGGCGTAGAACACGATGGTGACATTCATTTTATCATATGTGTACGTGTTTGACTCAAAAAGTTCAATTTAAGAAATTCATGTATCATGGTCGTGAAGGAGTCACGAAAAATTGCCAAGATTCAGTTCAAGATTTCGGAAAATGCGGAACGATAATCAATAATCGAAGATAGCCATTTGATTGACCATGGTATTGGCAGTCTAATGGCGTTTACGGCATGTCTGTATGTCTATTCTGTGATTTTATATGATTTTTTGAACATATGCCGTTTTTGGTCGAAAACTCAGAAATCATGACGTCACTAAAACCTCGGTATCTCAAAAATTTTCCGACCGATTTTTTTGAAACTTTGTCACAATAAACTTCAATCAATTCCCTACAGGTACCAAAAATTTGGCGCGCCTGCGGCGCGCCGTTTTTATGCTATGGCCCGGCGAAAAAAGTGGGGGCGTTTAACGCCCCCCCCCCCCCAGCAACTCGCGGGTTAACAGTAGGTCGCCGTCAGCTAGGACACCATCAGTTGAAAAATTGTAAGCTGCTAGGATGCCGCTTGCTAAAAATTATGACCACTGAGGACATCAAGTCTCGTCAGCAACATGATGCTAAAGCAGCATGACCACATGCAGACATAAGAATAGATACCGCAAGCTAGGTACTACTTGATAGTCAAAATGCTGATAGTTTTGAGTCATATACAAAACTACTACAGGGTGGACCAAAAAGGATGGAAACATTTTGAACTCGCATAAAACATGCATTATTGTATGCATGTGACTGGAAATGGTACCAAACGAGAGTACATTTCGTGGAAATTCATAACGGCATCACTCTCATCTGCTTTCTCTCGTTTTCAGTCTCTCACAGCAAATGTTCGAAGAGACCGCCTTCGCGAGACAGGCACGGAGCGGCCGGTCTGGTGGCTGACGCGATAGCCCGACGACACATGTTCGCTGGTATGGCTCACACAGTCTTGGTGATCGCTCTCTTCAGGTCACAGAGACCTTCCTTGTAGACCTGGCCCTTGAGATGAGATGATAAAGAAGTCACTGCACAGCAGCAAGGTCGCCGAAATGGTGTGCCCTCAGCGGAAAAGGAATCGTGGGTCCTCTTTGGTTCGAGGAAGGGAGCGGCGACACCGTGACCGTCAACCAACAGCGCATACCAGGCGGCGCTGAGGAAGTTCTGAGAGAGAGTTCAAACGAAGCATGGCAGCCTCATCATAGACCTTATGTGGTTCCAGCAAGACGGTGCGCCTCCTCACATCGCAAAAACATCGCTCAAGTGCATCGAAAACCACTTCGGTGACCGGCTGATATCCCGCGGTGCCAGTCGGAACTGGCCTACCTGCTCATCCGACCTGACCCCTAGGCCCTATGGATGTTTTACTGTGGGGTCATCTCAAGGGCTAGGTCTACAAAGAAGGTCCAGAAAGCCTCTGAACTGAAGAGAGCGATCAGCAAGGCTGTGTGAGCCATACAAGCGGGCTATCGTGTCAGCAGCCAGGCTGGTCGCTCTGTGCCTGTCTCGCGAAGGTGGTCACTTCGAACATCTGCTGTGAAAGACTGAAAACGAGAGAAAGCATATGAGAGTGATGCCATTATGAATTTCCACGAAATGTACTCTTGTTTGGTATCATTCCCAGTCACATGCATGCAATGATACATGTTTTGTACGAGTTTAAAATGTTTCCGTCCTTTTTGGTCCACCCTGTACATTCTAGCACTCCATACTGTATCAAAATAAACTACATCTTTGGACTATTAACTAGTTACCGTTGTAGCTGCGATCGTTTTAGTAGCTGCTCAGCTCTCGATTAGGTCAAAAGTCCATAGTAGTTATCTTGCTGTACATGCTAGGTAGTATTTACAAGGAGTGCCTGTGTCTTGCAGTTTGCACTACGCGTCAGTCTGTCCTCTGTGGACGATGCGTAGGGCAAAGGTCAGTTTAGGGGTAAATGTAGGGTAAAACTGGCGAAAAGTGGTCAAAATGGTAGCAAAATTTAGTAATTCGATAAAAGTGTTAGCACTTCACAGAAATGCTCCGCCAGACATGTTTATCATTGATATCACCTGAATGAAATAAAACGTTCAAATGTCTCAAAACAAAACGCTTACACTCCTTCTGACAAATAAGTTAGCCGCTTAAAAAAAAAACGAAAATAAAATGTTACCACACCTAGGAACTTCTAGCAACTTCTAACATACCCGTTGTTTGTTATCTAAAAATTTGCTCATATTTTCAAATATATGTAAGATAAAATGGACTTTTAAGGCTTTCATTATCCCTAAATTAATTAAACTTGAGGCTTTCCCGTAGCTGCTTTTGCAGAGCATTAAAATCTCAGTACCGAGAGGCTGGATTTGATCCAGCTCCCAGTACCGGCACTAGCACTATGCAATTCCAGTCGCAACATTATGTGATACTGGTACAGATCCTGCCATTTTCTAATTATATCTTTGCCGCATCTAGTTCCAAAACAGCACAGCTGCCTACAATTGCCCGTATTATCTAATGCTGTATGAATTGCTCGTCATCAATACAGGCACTATTAAAGCCCTTGTTACACTGCCGAATTTTGATACGCGAATGTGCACGAATATGCAAGTCATCCTATGTCGCGGACCGATTCGGGATCTTTCTTCCACGGTCTTGGCATTTCGCAGACCAGTCGGTGTCTACCGCGCGAGTTTTACGGTTCGTCACGACCGCCACGAATATTTCATGAAAAATGAAAATTTCGTGGCCGTTCGCCGAACTTATAATAAACGAACATGATCGCCAAACAGTCGCCGAGTCGCCGCCGACATGTCGCTGCGTGCGCCGACTTGTTGCCAAGGTATCGCCGACTATTCGTCACAGATTCGCCATTCATTCGCGATGTTCGCCGAATCATGGATCAGCTTCGACCCGCGCACGATTAGGGGGCCCCCACCCGTTTTCTGCAAATCGGGCTCTGTCGGCGAACTGTTCGCCTCTGTCGGCGGACTGTTCGCCGATTTCCTACACGACGTGATTCGGCGACAGGGTCGTGGCCAAAATTCGGCAGTGTAACACGGCCTTAAGTATAAGGATCTATAGCATATCTCGGTCGCGAGAAGTCTCACCGTCTTCTGACAGACTTGTTGCGGTCACGCGCCGAGCGTTTTTTGCTTCATCGCAAGAAACGTCGACGCCGACACCGTTGTCTCCGTCGTTAACGACACTTTCTTCCGGTGACAGCGGAACGTTCGGGGTTTTTACCCTTACA